CAAGGTACGACTGTATGAGGAAAGGGACTGAAAATACAAATCTGTTGTGTGACCACACTTGGAATACTGTGTACAGTTCCAGTCACCTCAGCTAAATAAGCAGTGTCGTAGCTATGGGGGAAGCTAGCCAAGGTTGTTGTTTTTGTCCCAGGTGAAACCTCCAGAGGGTCCTCGCCTGTGGGTGTGTACAGAAATGCGTGTGAGTGGTGCCAAACTGGGTCTTTGATCTGGGTGAAATAAAGCCTAGTTTCACCCCTGCAAAATGGATATTGTGCTTCCGGTGTATAAAATTATGTGAGGAGCAGATAAAGTTTTTCCCCCTCAGAATGTTGGGGCATCTGCTGTTGAAAGATCTGTGTCATACCTTCTCAGCTCAGTCTTCCTTGCTGCCTTCACTGCATTCAACCAGTGGCACCTGTGCAGTGTTCTTGCTTCTGCTTCAGTGGGCTCCTAAGTGAGCTTTGCACTGGATGTAGACTGAGCCTTCAGCTCTGCCACAGGTTTCCTGGGCAAACTTAAGTCACTCATTTTCGGCATTTTAAAGATAGTGATGAAGATATCAGGAACATCAGAGAAGTTGTTCACTTACATATTAAAACAAAAAAAATTCCTTCCAGTAGCACCTTAAAGACCAACTAAGTTAGTTCTTGGTATGAGCTTTCGTGTGCATGCACACTTCTTCAGATACCATTTTCGGCATTTTAAAGATAGTGATGAAGATATCAGGAACATCAGAGAAGTTGTTCACTTACATATTAGTAAGACAGTAATTTTCACCTTGCTTGCATTCATTTTTAGTTTTGCTTCATTCTTAGAATGAAGTTTTACTTCATTCATAGATATTGCACTTAGTGCTTGCTATCCTTCCTTCCTTCCTTCCTTCCTTCCTTCCTTCCTTCCTTCCTTCCTTCTCAAATACAGCTTCTGAGTTTGAAGCGGAGAGTGTTATTGTTATTATTTATTAGCCTCTTTTTTGCCACAGGCAACTCAAAGCAACTTACAATTTACCAAGCAACTTATATCTTACTTATTTCTTCAGGCCTAAAAGGCTGTGTTTTGATTTTGTGGAGGAAAAAACAGCTGCTGCCCCTTTCTCTGCCTGGGGAAATGGCCACAACATTACATGGGAGATGGAGTCTTGAGGGGTGGTAAGCACTGGGCTGGTTAGGGCTCTCTATTCCAGGGATGCTGGAGCCTGTGGACCTCCACATGTTGCTGCACTAGAATTTGCATCATCCCTGACTGTTAGCCATAGTGGTGCTGCTGGCGCTAATGGGAAGTCAGAATCTAACTGTCAGGGGCTCAGGGACTGAGCCACAGGGGAGAGAGGAAATGGAGAGCGAGGGGGAGGAATCTGAAGGTAGCGGAGAACAGAATGACAGTGAATCGAGAGATTCCATAAGCCTCTCCAGTGAATCAGAAGACTCCCAGAAGGGGGCGCCGACAGCCAGGGAGAAGGGGTTCCCAGAGGGGACACACCAGAAGCAGGGGGCCAGCGGAGACTCCCAAAGTAGTAGCTGGAGATCAGGGCCAGTTTCCCCACCGGAGCGCAGTGGGGGGGAAGAGGAGTCAGGTCTGGCCTTGCCCCCGTCGGAGAGTGAGGGAATGGAGGGGAAGTCAGAGCCAGGCAGCACCCCTGGGGAGGAGAGTAGCGACAGGAGCTGTGTAGCTGTGAGGAGGAAGGTGTCGGGCTGCGCGCGCGCGCCAAGTTCAAATGTACAGGCGCGCGGGACTGCTGACAGCCCGGAGTGGGAACCAGGTCCTAAAGCCCGCCGAAGGCTGGGGGAGGACTCGGGAGACTCAGCTTCTGAAGAGTCCAGGAAAGGCGAGCCCCTTCTGAAGAGTCTAGGAAAGGCGAGCCCTCGGCGGGCAAGAGGACCCAGAGGAGGAAAGAACACAGGAAGAGGTGGAGCAAGGCTAGGGTCTTAAACTGGTGCCTGGGGGGAGGAGACTCAGACGGAGCTTCGGCGGTCTAGAGTTCGAGACGTAGAGGTGCACGCTGAGAATGTAAGAACGAAACAGAACTTAAATAAAGACTATTTCATATAACAACGACTTGGCGTTGGTCCTTTGTGAGCTGGGACCTAGGGCAGCCTCTGACACTAACAATGTCTAGGACCGTAGGGTAGCATCTCTGCTTTCTCTCTTCTGTTTCTCCAGTACTGTCAAACGTCAGGTGAAGTGAACACCCAGAGGAGGGCTTCCAAATAATATACAGTGGTACCTTGGTTTACGAACCTAATCCGTTCCGGAAGTCCATTCTTAAACCAAGGCGTGCTTTCCCATAGCAGTGGGAATTTACACTCAACAGGAAGCGGAACATGTTCTGCTTCCGAGGCAAAGTTCACAAACCAAAACACCTACTTCCGGGCTTGCAGCGTTCTTAATCCAAGTTGTTCATAAACTGAGCTGTACTTAAACCAAGGTACCACTGTATTAGCAAGTGGTGAGGTTCTTGCAAGAGAAGGCAGCGTACACACACGCACAAAGATTTATGCGTATGTATAAAATCCAGGAATCTGCCCCCCTGCATCATGTTTCATTCAGCCCCAAGTCTCTTTCCTTTGCTTTCTGTGGCATTTGACTGTGATTAACCATTACTGGATTGTGTCCAATGTGTGTCTGCGCACAGAGCACACAGAGATGTATTGCAACCCTTCCCAGGGGTCCTTCAAAATATGGATTCTCTCTCCATCCCTCCTACCTGTCATAATGACAACTGTTTTGTTAGTATACAAGATCTGAGAGCAAAAGCCTTTTTGAGTAGCTGGGACTTTAAGTATGCATTTTTAATAACATATATTAAGTTACTTTCACCACCCCACCCCCAGTGCTGTAATTTCTATGATTTTCTTCTTTATAAACTTGCAATGCTTCACCTCAAATGTAGAATGACAATAGATGTTGTACGCATATAATATTTCTCCTTTTCTGCATTATTCAAATTACTTTCCAACCTTCGTACATAATTCTGCCATTCCTTTTACTGCTGCTGTAAAGCAAATGGTTATTTTATACAAATGTTACCTCTTGGCTATTAATTCAGTGATTATTTTGGACTATGGCACTTCTTTTTAAACATAGGGTGGTAAAACCTCATAAATAGAAAGCTTGTCATTAAAAAAAAAAAGTCTTTGACTTGTTTTGCTCATCAGTTTATGATCAAATGGTTATATATTGTTATTTCTCCACCTGAAAAATCCTGATAGTTTATTCAAGCTACAGCACCAAGAAAATTCATACTTCCGATATCATTTTATTACCATTTTTTTTTACCACACTCGTTGCCTCATAGTAGCTCTGGACAGTACAAACAATCACTGCCAGTTACCTGCTCTGTATGCTTGGAAGTCAGTGGCCAGCACTTGTCCAGGAAAGTTGCACAGACCATATTCCCATCTACAGATTATTCAACCTTCCTGGGTGGTTGCCCTCGCAGATATGACAAGCAAGCACTTCCAGCCAGTTGTGAAAACGATGGCACGTGCTGGTTTTTAACTTTCGAATCTGTTGCCAGCCCTGGTATGTAACTTTCAAAACTGCACTGCAGTCACATGGAGTTTCATACAATCCATGCCAGTGCAATAGCCAAATATCTTCATGTGCGGATTTGCCAAGGGTGTGTTTGATGCAGCTTTGGAAAGACGAGCATTTTAAAGACTCTGAAATTCCCCTTCGCCACTTAACTCCCAAGGTTTAGAATTGCCGCTTTGTCTCATAATCAAAACCACTAGAATGCCTATATTACGCAAATACACTTGAAAAAACACGTAAACGTAATAGGCTGTATAATAACAATTGTAAAGTTATTTACTAGAAACCACTTCTCAAAATTAGATACAGCTTCTCATAATGTCAAAATCAACATCGTGACATAACATATTAAAATGCAGCTGATTCAGTTGACCACCAAGTCCAGTATCTACAAAATGTGATTCTTTTTTGTCAGTCGCGTAGTATATTCATTTCTAATTTCTTCATTTTCTCTTGTATTTTTCTATCAGACGTATTCCTTAGAAGAGTACCATGAAATAGTCTTGTAAGTGTCTAATGAAGATGATAAGGTTGGTAGACCTTATTTGACTAAGAATCTATCACGAATAGGATCCATGTAGCTGTTTATACAGTAACGAACTACACACAGCTGATGAAGCCCCTTGGGGCGAAACAGGGGAATATCCAGGAATCCTTGTCCTGTCTACCTGTGCCAGCATCTACCAGTGCCAGTTTCTTATGTCTACCAACCTTATCAGCTTCATTAGACACTTACAAGACTGTTTCATGGTACTCTTCTAAGGAATACGTCAGATAGAAAAATACAAGAGATGATGAAGAAATTAGAAAGGAATCGCATTTTGTACATACTGGACTTGGTGGTCAACTTTGCCATTGTTGTTATACAACCTATTACGTTTACGTGTTTTTTCAAGTTTGTCTTGTAATGCAAATCCATTGCAGCTGCTGTAGAGCTGACAGCTCTTGAAATGCTAGCTCAGGACTACTTTACACGTTCCTTTTGTAGGAGGTGGAGCAGCATTCATAAAACATAACCTGTGAAGCAGGACATATTTATTCTGCTGAGCATACATAGGTCATATACATACACAGCCATTTGTCCAAATGCTATTTCAGGGAAGTTTCTAGGCAGTCTCCATTTAAGTCATGGAGAACCTGTGGCCCTCCAGGGGTGGTTAGACTAAAACACCTGCCATCCCTCAGCATTGGCCATGCTGCAAGACGGAATGCAACAACATCTGGAGGACCACAGGTTTCCCACCCCCGATTTAACAGAATGGATCTTGTTGCAGCTTTGATACTAGAGGGATTGCACTTCCAGTTTGTAGTTTTCTCTCCCTTCCTAGATTTCCACCATACATTTTGCAATTGCCATTTCTAGGTTGTCTAAATGGATTTGGGAAACATTTGTTCTAAGAAAGTGCGGCTAGAAAGAGCCTGAGCTGCGCGTGAGAAGTTTTCTCATTGTCTTTGGGTAATTCCAGGCAGCAAACATTCCACTTGTGTCAGAGCTTGGCATAGACAACATCCATTTTGACGACTTCTCCCTCGACACGGACGCCATGATAACTGCAGCCCTCCGGATGTTCATGGAGCTTGGAATGGTGCAGAAATTTAAAATTGACTATGAGGTAACCATCTGTTGTGCGAAGATAATCGGCCCTGCTTTGGTTTTGGCGGTGGTTGTGCCCATTTGTCCGTGTTAAGTGTCCCTGATGCGATTTGTACTTTTCCATTTCAGACGTTGTGTAGGTGGCTTTTGACAGTGAGGAAAAATTACCGAATGGTCCTGTACCACAACTGGAGGCACGCTTTCAATGTCTGCCAGCTCATGTTTGCCATGTTAACTGTGAGTATCTTGAGTGGCAGGCATCTTATGATACTATTCCACGTTGTTGTCCGAACATTTGTTTCCTCTTCCCCTTGCTAATACGGCATTAAAAAAAAAATATTGAGACGTAAGCGCCCAAGAGAATAAAGGGTCCTAATTTGATACCTAATTTGGCAGCGCTTATTTGGCAACATTTGACAGGGTTTGAGCACCGTGAAAGAATGGAACCACAGATGGCAGTTGTATGATACTGACCTTATTGTTATAGAACCTAATCTTAAAAGAATGGGTTTTACATATTATATATATATGTGTGTGTCATTGCTTCATAAAATCCCCACTCTGCCAATGTGCCTGTAATCCAGAGAAAGTTCAGCATGTTGGTCCCATTGAGGAAAGTAGGACTTGGGCATGTAACCATAGAATTTAAGATGCATGAATTTAAATGGAACTGGACTTTGCGCACTTTAATCCCCCAAAGAGCACTGAGCTGCTAATCAAGTACATGGTGAGAGATTGTAACGAAAGACCAGGCAGCTGGCAAAGAAACTTCAGTGGGAATAGAAAGGGAGCATTCCAGTTTATCTGAAACTGGAATCTTTAACTGGTAAGCTGCAGCTGTCAACAGGAGCCTTTATATTATGGTGGTGGGGAAACAGTTAAAGGATACAGGTAAACTGGACATTTCAGGTGAAGGAAAGAGGTGACGAAGGAGGGAAACCTGGGTTGAACTGGCTAAGAAGAGCTGCTAGGTTCAGGGGTTCAAGGATGTAATGGGAGGACAAGGGAGTATGCTATTTTAACATTTTATTCTAGGGTGCCAGAATTTCTTAGCGGTGGCAGGTGTTTACAACCAGCTTCATGAAGACAGGCGAACAATTTGCTTTGGCTTTGGGGAAGGCATAAGAAAATTTAACCAAGACACCGAGAATTATTACTTCCACATCACATTTATGCAAGGTGCTGATCACATACCTTCAGTTGTTTTCTTTTTTTAATGCAGACAAATTGCCAGCAGGGACACCTTGACAATATGAGGCCTCACTCACTGAATAAGTTTGGGGTTGATGGTCCTTCCCAGCTGTCAATTCCCCACTTCCCCTTAGACATCCACATTTAATAAAACACACACATGTACATTTGCACTTAAATCATGGCATTGTGCCCCCAGTCTGCTCATCTGTGCACTTTTAGCTGATCCATCATCATGTTTGACAACCTGGATAAATTATTTGAAGGTTTTCATGTTTATATTTCGTTGCTAAAGTTGCTACATAAAAATCAAAACCTGCTTGATAACTGTTCTGATGAACGCCTTCACATTTGTGCTGTCGCTTTTGCTCATAACAATACAGACCTTAAGACTTCCGCTAGGTGGAGCTCAAAGGCCAGAATTGTTTTAGGTTTCTTTCTGGAGTTGGTGAGGTATGACAGCATGTTTTATCGTTTGATGAAACAGCTTCTTTTCATCTGGGTTGAATAACTAGCAAACAGCAGGATCAAATGGAATTGCAATTGTTTGGACAGTGTCGGGTCTTTGTTGTTGTTGTTGTTGTTTTGCTTTGATAGGGTTAAAACGTCTATCTCTTGGCTGTGGATCTGTGAATATCTGCACAGCTAATTGTCAAAACACTGCCAAATGCGAGCTATTTCCCAGACAACTGTTTCCCACTTCTCAGCCTGCACTACTTATGTGTCAACTCTTAGAGCAAATTCACATGACCTTTTCTTCTCTACAACAAGGCACTACCCCCCATTGGCAGAGAGTCATGGGGAATCTGCCATTGTGAATGGCTTGCTATGCAACAACCCTTCCTTCTCCCACCTTTGTAGGTTGCATGATGACCCCATTCATAAAAATGGATTACGCACACATCCCTGTCATGAAATGGTTGCCTGAAGTTCACTAGAAGTCCCTGTGCAGTTGCAAGTGGTTGTATGAATTAGGCCTTAAAAGGATTTTGTTGGAATGTCACTACAGTGGTACCTCGGTTTAAGAACAGCCCTGTGTACGAACTATTTGGTTTACAACTCGCAAAACCGGAAGTAGTGTCCCGGTTAGCGAACTTTACCTCGGTCTAAGAACAGAAGCCGAATGGTGGAAGGGCACCAGCGGCGGGAGGCCTCATTAGGGAAAGCGTGCCTCAGTTTAAGAACGGACTTACGGAATGGATTAAGTTCGTAAACTGAGGTACCACTGTAGTTCTTAGTCAGATGTGAGACTCCAGAAGCGACTCTAGAATACGTGTGTATTTACGTATTCAACTAAGATACTTTTAGTTACGGGAATGACTTGTAGTGCTCCATCTTGATGGAAAAGAAACATCTAGTGCTGTGATAATACTGAGCGTTCAGTTTTAGGCACACTTGAAATCTTGTGCACACTTACCTGGGAGTCAGCTGCAGTGAGCACAGTGACACTTTTATCTCAGTAAACATGTACATGATGGAATTGAAAGTCTGCTTCTATATAAACTTTTATCCTGACTTCACAGGCCACAAGTTTTGGTGGAATGTGTATAATAAACCATAGTTTAGTGGATCAGGGTCTTGCACAGCTGCGTTTCCTTCAAAATAAAACTATGCATACCTTTTGAAGTGTGAATAATGTGATGTGTTAGGCCTACTAGAGGACAGCAATAGCAGATAAAGTCCGTAGTTAAAGCCTTTGCCCCAGAAGCAATCTTAGGAAACGCCTCGATTGGTATACAGATCACAGCTACTCGCCATGAACAGAGAACAAATTCTGTTCCCTTCTGTATCTACTCTCATACTCTTTTGAGTCAATTCTCTTCCATATCCGCCAACGTGATATATGCCAAAAAATGTATTATACAGATCTACACAAGACAGACTGACTAGTCTAAAAGAGAAAGATTGACACGCCTTGAATGTTATGCACAGCAAACATAGAAACCAAGGGTTGAATATTTCATTTGAGAGATTTCTGACCTTAAGCTCATTACAGTAAAAAATTTTTAAAAATGTAGTAGAAAATAGAAAATTAGGTTCATAGATAGACTGGTGGTGTTCTTGATTTCAACAAAGTCTGGAAATGTTGAAGGTCCCAAACAGATCTGGTAAGATGTCCTACCATTTTAATGTTAATTCAGAAGGAGCAGGTTGCCGGTGGGAATTGGATTGGAGCTGTGGTACTAGCAGTACTTCTGTGCCGCTTCGCTGTTCTGAATCTCCACTAGTCCGGCTGCTGGTAGCTCCCTTTCAGAAGAAAGATGGACACAATATAGGCACTTGCGTTTCACCTTCCAGGGTTAATAGAAGGGGGGGGGGTTCAAAGGGAATATTGTTCAGGGGAAGGGCTCTCCACCAGTGTTGCTACTCTGATCAAAATGGGAGAGCCCTCTTGTGGCTGCTTTTAAAATACAATGACACAGCGTCGGACAAGTCCAATCATAAGTATTATGCCTGTCACAGCGACAGCATTGTGTGGCACGCAGCGTTGTACAGTTCTGTCTGGTACACCAAGGGTGCATGTGCCTGCGCTGTTCTACATCTGTGGGATTCTTTCACTTCAAGTGACTGGATCGGCTCCTTTTATCTTTTAATCTCATCGTTGACACCCCTCTTCTACTGTCCACATTTATGCATTTGATGAAGTAGGTTCTGCCTACAAAATGCTCATGCAATGATAAGTGTATTGATTTTAAGGATTCTCTGGTGTTTTCCAGGCCCGTGCAACAGCTGGAGGCGGGGGGAAAGTTGGGTACACTTGCCCAGGGCTTCAGAGGGCTAAGCCAAACAGGGGGCCCCACCAGGGACTGGCAGCTTCTTCTCTTTTTGCCTTTTAGTTTATAACTTTATTCTAAAAAGACTCCCACCCTGGGCCTCAGACAAAGCTCTGCATGGGCCTGATGTTTTCTCTCAACAGACTTAGCACAGTTGCGCTTCTGGCTAGTCAGCATTTAGAGTTGAAGATATGTTAAAAAGTGAAATTGAGACTAATATTATGTTGTCCAGAAGGGTTCGGAATTATTCATTCTAATGCTACCTAAGCTTTTTCAAGTGTTCAGAATGGGATAATGACCTTAGCTGCTGTTGGGCCAGAATTCAACGGAAGGATCCACTCCCCCAATCTATGTTTGTTTATTGAAATATCTGTAGAGCCCTTCAACCCTGCCCCCCCCCCCATGTACAGCCATACACATGGAGAACCTCTATTGATGTTCTAATGAATGTGAATAGGGGAGGAACAGATCCTGCCACATTCCACTACATGGAACTATTATCAATCTTTTGAAAGCCTGAATAAAGACTAGTGATTTGGTTGTTTGCGGTTAAAATAACCTAAATTGAACAGAATGTTTAATTACTCATAAAGTATACAGAGTATGCATCAGATTTCTGACAGTACCATTGAGTTTAAAAATACAAGACCAAATGTAAAAGGCCAAAGGATAAATTTATATGTGACTGATACGCACATCGTGTAATCTTTTTCTAGAAGAATCACTTTTCCCTTTGCAGCTTGTACTCATAAATGGCCATTCCATTAACATTGTTCCTACGTGTGGTAATGATGTAAGTAAACTCCAGAACAATAGACACTTTAAGTAAAGACACCTTGAAATATAAGCACATATTTTGCCATTCTGCTCATTTTTCTTCCTAAGCATTACATATCTTATGGAATGTAATAATCTTATACAACTTACTGGTAATGTGTGTGGGGGACACGTATATTATTATCTTAGATTTTATAGTAATACTGTCAATGAGGTTATGCTGAAGAGCTGCAGTTCAGCACTTTTATTAATGGCTATTACAGTAAACACACTGACACGTTATTTGGTTTTTATTTATATATCTTTAAACGTGGATCTTACAAGTTTAAAAAAGATGTTCGGGATGTCAGTGTGGTCAAGTTCAGAGAAACAGAAGGGTAATGAATAATAGATAGCAAGGGAGAAAAGCATGTGTGTTTCTTTTTAATGAATTAATACTTCCTCCTACTAATACTTCTTCCTACTTCCTACTAAGTACATTGCATGATATTGGGC